GGGGCGGCGGGCGGGGCGGCACAAAGCGGGCGGCCCGGGATGCCCATGGCCGCGGTCGCTGGCTCTGGCGGCGACACGGAGAGCAGCGAGCCCCGCACCGCTCCGCCTGCGCCGCTGCCTCGCAGCGCCGGGGAGAGCGGCTCAGCCGCGCCCCCCGCGCCCCCGCCCGGTACTGCGGGCCCCGCCGCGCCGCCAGCCCGCGCCGAGCGGCCTCGGGGGCGGAGCGGTACCGGGCCCGGCCCGTGGGAGGCGCCGCGAGGGGCTCGTCCGGCGCCCGCTCTCGAGAGCCGTCGGGGGAGGCGGCCAGGGCCCGGCCGCTCGCCCGCCCGGACGCATGCCGGCTGCCCGGAACCCCTCCGCTCGCACGGGGCCGCCCCGGGCCCGGCCCCACCTCCTCGGGACCCGGCGCCATACCCCCGGCCCTGCCGGCCCTCCGTCTCCGCAGGGCGGGCCTGGCGGCGCACAAGTGCTTCGCGCACAACGCGGGCTGCGGCCCCGCGCAGCTCAGGGCGCGGCATCGGGCGGCCCGCGGCACCGGCGGGGACGAAGCGCGGCGCTCACGGAGCCCGGCCGGGCCTCTGGCGCTGCGCAGCTCGTGCCCCGTCAGGCGCGGTGCCGGGGGCTTCGCGGGGAGCGAGGCAGGAACGGAGACCTCAGGAGAGCCCCGCTGAGCGCTGCTTTGTTCAGAGCGGTTCCGGAGGTCGGAGAAGAGCGGAGAGCTGCCTCTTTTTTTTTTTTTTTCCCCTGCTCTATCTGGGCCAAATAAGCCCTAAGAGCTTCGCGGACATCCTGGGCAGGATGCAGCCCGGGAGATGCTCGCGCAGTGGAGAATTCCAGCGGTGTGGCACAAGGGGTGGCACGCAGCTCTGCTGAGAAAGGGCAGTGACCTCCGTGCTGGCTCCGTGGTGCTGCAGGCCCCGCTGCTCGGCCGTGGCAGTTATCTGAGCGCTGCCCCACAAATGTGGGGCAAGGGATGGAGGAGCTCGGATATAGCTGCTCAAACAGCGGCTCCGGCCTTGGCAAATAGCCGGTTTCAAAGAGCGGCTGCCTCCTGCTTCTCTGAGCTAAGCGGTTCTGCAGCAGAGAGAAATAAGGGAGCTCGCCAAGAGGTGGCGCTGCACGGGCTGAAATGGGGAAACAACATGGAGACCTGAGAGAGGGTCGGAGGCAGCGCGTCCTGCCCAGAGGCATCCGGATGGCTGCAGGAAGCTTCTGGCCAGGAGTGACGACCCGGTGACAGAGAGCGCAGTGCTGCCTGCGAGAGCTGGGTGACTGCAAAGAGATGAAGGGGATTAATGCACAAAGAGGCCAAGCAAGAGTAGTCCTACAAAGAAACACACAGCGAGCTTCTCCCATGGAAAGTGTGCACGATGAGAGCCCTGGACCAAGCATGCAGAGCCCTAGGTAGGACCCCAGAAGCTAAGCAGCAAACGAGTCGTAAGGCAGTCCTCTAGAAATCAGAAGTGACTCAGAAAAAATCACTAGTAGGGATTGGTTTCTGGTTTTTGACAGAACTAGCCTTTTATTGCATGTACCTGCGTGCTCAACATTTTCTGACATTTGTGCTTTGTTTTCGTGTGTTTCAGGGATCACTCTCAGAAAAGTACAGCATTTTTTAGCCTTCTGGAACGCACAGAAGTTCATCCCAGGCAGCGGCGCTCCCTTTCTGGCTCCAGCACAGAGCCGGCAGGATGGTGCGGGTCCTCGGGCTCTTTCATGCTAGTGATGCTGGAAGCTGATTTACATGTAACAGTGCAACACTGATCTCGGGCATAATAATAGAAAAGCTGATGTGGGATTCAGCTGGTAAAGAATTAAAGGATGGGAATATAATTAATGCAATCAGCTTGGCTTCTGGAAAATAGCTCTTGTCAAACTCTGATGTCATCCTTTGAGGAGATTACAAGTTTGGCTGATAAAGGTTATGGCATAGAAATAACAGACCTGGACTCTGTTCAGGCATGTGACTTAATCCATACAGTATTCTGATTAAAAATTAGCACAATACAACATCAAGAGGGACACCTTAAAGGGACTGGGAGCTGGCAAACCGACAGGCATCAATGGGGAATCCTTGCAGAATGGGAGCACGCTCAGTGGGTGTCCACAGGGTTTGATGTGAAGCCCAGTGCTATTCAGCATTTTCATCAATGGTCTAGAAATAGATTAAAAAGCCCTGCTGAGAAAAATGCAAGGGCTGTGGAAATGAGGGGGGCAGGAGACACGGACGAGGTCAAGACAGCTGCAGAAAACTTTATAAGCTGAATCCAGGCAAATAAAATGCGGTTGGATGTGAGCAGCTGCAAAGTGACACCTCCAAGGAGCAGAGAATACATACAGAGTGCTGCATCTCACGGCAACCTGCATCCTGCAGAGGATTGACTGGAAAGGAGCTTAGCTTGAGAGGAAGGAAAGCAGAGCAGGAGCAGCAGGGCCCTGGGAGTGCCATCTGGGAGCTGCAGCGAAGGGGTCGGGCCCTTGGCTGTGGGAACGGGGCAATGGAAGTAGCTGAGTGTTGTAGGTATGTAGCATGGCAAGCAAAAGCAGACACGTGCAGGATACCTGAGTGCAGCATCCACGTTTGGAAAAGGATGGTGAAAACTTACAAGAGTCAAAGCTGACGCCAGCTCTAGAGAAATTGCTTTGCCTGAGAAATGCAGCCTCCTCAGCTAGTTCAAAGGAGCCTGAGGGATGCCCTGATTATAGTGCTTAAGCAGCTTCGTGGGTGAGAGACTATCAGGTATTAGAGAGCTTTTCATCTCTCATAGAAAGGCCCAGAAAGAATTTGTGGCCCGAACGGAGTTAACATGAGAAACTGAAGCAACATCCCTCTGTGACATTGTTAGAAGAGATTCCCAGAGGCAAGGAGTGGGGAGAAGGGCTGGGATAACAGTTTGGGGTACAGTGGGATGCGCAGAGCTGAAGTGCATGGGCTCATGCATGTGCCAGGCCAGCACCCTCCTACCTGCAGCTCCTGCAGCAATGCCAGCCTTGCTAAGCACAGCCCAGCCACGGATGGCTCTGGCTCCTGAGGCTGCCCGAGGCACCGGCAGAAGCCACAGGAGCTTTCAATTGCAGCTTGGAGAAGAGGGGCCAGCCAGGCCCTTGGAGGCTGTGGCTGTGTGGCAGTTTGTCCAGCTTATAGCTGGGGAGGAGTGGCTCTCCCACTTGCTACCAAATGTTTAGCCATGGGCTCCTTTTCAGAAGTTCTACCCTGCTTCAGCACAAGCACGCAGTCTCCAATACAGACAGCAAACATTCTCCTCCCCATGTTTTCCTCAAATGCTCTCTTCCACTGCACCTAGATTCTTGCTACAGCCTTTGCAGCTGCTGTGCCTTTGGGAGAAAGTCTGCATGCTGCTGTCTGCGTGCACTACAGCATGATGATGAAGGCTTGATGGCACTCCAGCAGCCCAACAGGCAGAGAATTCCTCTCACTACAGGAACCCTGCTCCCTGTTACCAAGGGCAGACAGCAGGCAGTGCCTCTCACTGCTGGTCACAGTGCTGTGGTCATGCTATGGTGCAATCACAGCAAAGTCCTAATCCGGTTTCTTTCCTAATATCCTCCTCCCCAGGTCTCCTGGCTCGGCGGAGCTGTCTGGCTGTGCTGGCATTGTGCAGAGGGCTCATCGCAGGGAGACTCTGCTGAGGGAAGGGCTCTGCAGCCAGTCAAGGTGTTGCTTTTCTGAGAAATTCAGGAAGGAAATCTCTGCCCCCAGCTATTCATTGCTTCTCATCCACAGCAGGATCAGATCCTCAGTCTGCCTACAAGGCAGGTAAGATGTAGCCAGGCAGCCACCTCTCTTGCAAGCTGTAGAGGTGAATACCCTCCGGGCTCATGCCAAGCTCTCCCTCTTTCATTTCCTGTTTCTCAGAATAGTGAGAGCCATGGGCTCCCTCTGGAGTCACCTTGCTGCTTTTCACACATTGCTTCGCCCACACGAAGGAGCCCAGTCCCTAAGTTTTGCCTAAGGCCAACGTTACCAACTTCAGATTCACTTGTGGATATCAAATGAGCGAAAATCCAAACCGAGCGTCCCTGGCTACACAAGGGAGGAATCAGACTGCAGGATCTTCCAGAGCTTCCTTTGCTTCCCCTGTGTCTGAAAGGTAAAGGCCAACAAACCCAGGCAGATCATTTTCCCCTTCAGTCAGTTTTATAGCATTGTTCCTGCCTTATATTTCTGAAAAGTTACACCAGCTGAGGGGCTGCCTGTGTTCTGGTGTGTTGCTCAGCCTGAACAGACCTGGTTTAAGCCTGTAGGCAGCCCATGTCAAACGAGAGCGATGTCATGTGTTCCTCAGCTCCTGGTGTATATGTTAATTTCTACCTCAGAGAGCCACCAAATGCTAGACAATGTTGAAAGCTTTGCTGAAATCCCAGTAGAGGACATCTACTGGCTCCCCTTGCTCAGTGAGGCAGGTAAACTTGTCGTAAATGGACCTGAAGTTAAGTAAGCAGGACTTTTGCCTTGTGAACCCATGTTGGCTATGGCCAACAACTTCACTGTCTTTCACTCAGGGATCTGGGAATCCCAGGGTCTGTCATCAGAGTTAAAGACAGAAAAAAAGAAGGCATTCACTCTGTTTTATCAACATCCCTATTTGTGAGGTTGCTCATCAAGTAACAGACCAACATTTTCTCTGACCTCTTGCTGTTAACATACTTAAAACAGCTCCTTTTTGTGTCCCTCACTCTACTATCCAGCTCCAACTGTAATTCAGCTTTACCTGCACAAATTTTCTCCTCACAGCGGTAAACAGCACCTCTGTAGCCCTCCCACATCTGACCTTGCTTCCAGTGGCCTTGCACTTCCCTTTTCCATCTAAGCTCTACAAGATCCCTGCTCAGCCACGCCGTCTGCCCCACATACTTGACCTCCAAAATCCCTTCGTGCCTGTGCCAGGACGTGAGCTTCAGGGGGTTTGGGGAATCCCCTGGATGTTTGTATCAGCTGTGTGGTATTCCCAGTTAATGTCTGGGACCAGCTCCTGTGCCAATAAACCTGTGCTTGTGGAGCTTGGTTTAAATCTCACCTGCTGCCTGGCTTGCCCGAAGCATGGTGGGTCAGTAATGCTGATATTTGATGGTTGATGGCATGATAACATCCCATGTGCACTTCTAATAGCAGAGCCCTGCCACGGGTGGTGCAAGTGTGTGAGGGATGGTGTTCCTCCAGCGCTGGCATTTTTTGGGACAGAGTGCACTAGATGGTGCTGTTCAACCTTTGGCTGTAATTTAAAACGACCCTCGCAGGTCATTGCTGGTCCCAAATTTAGGTTTTATAGAAAGGCTTTTTCAGAACTGGGAACAAATAGAAATACCCTGAAACCGCTTGACAGACATCTAAGCCTAACAGCACTCTTCAAACAGCCTTCCTCCCCACCTGGGTCTGCCTCCCACCAACGTGCTAGCTGTGGAAATCTCAGGGAGCAGCTGCCCAGAGATGTGCTCAATATGGGAAACAGAATCAGCCACCACCGCTGTGCAAAGGGCTAACAGCCTCCTGGGGCTTCTCAGCCCTGTTTGGCTGTGTTGCAGTGGATGCCTGTGAGATGTGGTCAGGGCTGCTTGATGGAAAGGGCTGGGGGAGCCCTGGGCTCCCAGTAGAGATCCTTAAGGTTAGGGCTGAAAGCCCTGAGGGCCTTTTAGGTGACTGGAAAGCTTGAGAGACTGGGACACAGAGATCTTAAACGATCCCTACTGAAGGTGAGGAGCAGCTCTCCTGTGCTTACCTCACCCTCTACACACCTGAAGTCCATTCATTTAAGAGGCAGGAAACTGTTTGGCTACATAAACAGCAATGGAAAAGAGGGCTGCTGAGAAACAGGGTAAAAGGATGCAATAAATGGATGGGAGAGGACACTTTTGGCTCCTGGACCACTGACAAAGTGATACCTGCAGAGCAGGAGAGGGAAAACATGCTGGCAGTCAAGAAAGAAGTGTCAGCGTCATGGCACAGGGCATTGGAAGCGCTTGGCTGCTGGGCACTGCAGGCAGCTGGGTCACCTCAGAATGGGGGCCAGGCACAATGAAGACCCCAGCTGACAGAGAGGCATCTATAGCCCAGTGGTACTGCTGTGGTGTGGAAGACACCCAGAGCCACAGACACAGCTGGTGTGAGAGCAAAGGGTGAGGAGTGGGCCTGAGTACAACTGGGATGGGGTCTGGGAGGCAGCTCCTGCCCACTGGCACAGTGGGGATACCCAAGGCAGCTGTGCCAGGGTGGATGTGGGCTGTGAGCCCATCCCTAACAATGTCAGTTCCCCAAAGGCATCTGCAGTGCAGCAGGAACTGCTCTCTGTTTCTCACACCATGGCTTGCAGTGCAGGTTCTGCGGGGTGCCAGCGCATCCCACCTCGTTTCAATTCACTGCCCTGGGAGAGATGAACACACCCAAATTCCTCAGCTTGAATTTGCCTCCAGTGCTGGGCAAAAGGGGTGAAGCAGAGAAACACTTGTTCCAGCCCAGTCTGGCTCCCAGTTACAGAACTGGAGGCAAACCACTGACCGAATGAAATTCAAGACCGTATGCAGCAGCCACCTTTTCACAGACAGGGCTGGCACTCCCCAGACACAGCTTGTGTTGAGCTCTGCCTCCTTGTGATGCACTGGGTGAATGTTAGGGCCACCTCCATGCTGCCCTGGGATTGTCCCCTCTCTACCACCAGTCTGTCCTTCTGGATACTGCCTCCAAACAGCTTATGCCTTTTTGCTCCAATACTGCTTTATTATTATTGTTGTTTTATAAAGACCACACGTGAATCCACAGTCCCTAGCATTGGCTAAATAAGCTGCACAGAGGATCGGGAATCCAGAACTTCTCCTATCTGACCAGGGAG